TGTTAATAGTTGCTTTATATACTTTGGTGCTCCTGTGTTAGGTGCATATACACTCATTAAGTGTTATGCCTTCTTGGTGGAATGTCCCTTTTATCATTATATACTGACTGTCTTCGTCTCTCATTGTCTTTTTTATCTTGAAGTCTGCTTTGTCTGATATAAGTATGGCAACACCTGCTTTCTTTTGGTTGCCATTTGCTTGGAGTATCATCTTCCAACCCTTCACTCTGAGCCTATGTTTGTCTTTAGAGCTGAGATGTGTTTCCTGGAGGCAGCATATCGCTGGGATGATGAAAATATTTTGGAACTAGATAGAGGTGCGGATTGTACCACATTGTGAAGGTACAATGCCACTGAATTGTTCACTTAAATATGATTAATTTTATGTTGTGTGAATTTCACCCTAATAAAAAAATTTAATGTGGTCGAACATGTTAATATTTTTCTTTAAAGTTTGTGTTTTGGGGGGTCTTAATTAACATATTTTTCCACTGCAAAATAATAAAGATATTCTTCTCTATTATTTTACAAATTTAAAAAATTTTGCTTTTCTCACTAAAGTCTTTTTTTTTTTTTTAAAGATTTTATTTATTTATTTTTTCCCCCCAAAGCCCAGTAGACAGTCGTATGTCACAGCTGCACACCCCTCCAGTTGCTGTATGTGGGACGCGGCCTCAGCATGACCAGAGAAGCGGTGTGTCGGTGCGCAGCCGGGATCCGAACCCGGGCCGCCAGCAGCAGAGCGCACGCACCCAACCACTAAGCCACGGGGCCGGCCCTCACTAAAGTCTTTAATCCACCTGGAATTTGTGTGTGTGATGGGAAGGATAAGGGTGTAATTTTTATTTTAGTTTTCCATTTGGTTAGGCAAATATCTCAGCACCATTTATAGAAAAGTCCACCCTTCCTGTAGTGATTGGTCACGCCTCTCTGTCATATATCAACTTTCCAAATATGTGTCTATTTTGGGCTCTCAATTTTCTCCTTATATCTTACAGCTTTATAACATGTTTTGATATCTGCTAGTTAAGTGCTTCTTACCTTATTTATTTTTTCACCATTGTCTTCCCTATTCCTGGCCCTTTGTTCTTCCACGTAATTTTAGGGTCAGCTTGTCAGTTTATTTTTTATTTTATTTTTTACATTCTAATCTTTATTAACAAAATTGGTCCAGAAAAGGATTGGGTCAAGATGACAAAGTGATAAGGGGTAAAATAAACATTGTTTTCCATGGCATAGTTTCTAGGGGACTGTAGACAGTCTAGAAGTCAAAGTTTATTTGAAAATCCTATTCCATACCAACATTTCAAGTGGAATTGCACTGAAGAGAATTGTCATCTTTATCATACTAACTCTTTCGTACCCCTGAACATGGCATATCTCGCTCTTCCTTTCTTCAGTTCATTTTTTATGTTGCTAAACAGTGCAACATAAAAATGGTTAATTATTAATTGTCCCAGGTGGCATAAAATAGTATTTTTCTCCACAAAGATGTGTTTTTTTGGCTATTATGATTATATTTTGTTTGATTAATAATGTACAGAAATACTACTATTCTTGTATGTTTATCTTGTTTACAAAACCTTGCTCTTATTCATTTTAATAGCTTATTTGTGGATTTTCTTGAATTTTTATATAGGCAATTATATTGTCTGAAAAAGAGAGTTTTGTTTCTCCTGTTTCAATTGTTATGCCTCATTTATTTTTCTTATCTAACTCCGCTAGGACCTCCCGGAAGTGGGGATAATAGACATCCTTGTTTTCTTCCTGACCTTAATGGGGGTGCTACTAGAGGTTCAACAGTAAATGTGATGTTTGCTGTTGATTTTTAATAATTACTCTCCAGAAGGTAAGAAAATGATCTTCTATTTTTAGTTTGCTAAGAAAAATAATAGACATATATGACTGCTAATTTTTTTCAAATGCTTTTTCTGTATTCATTAAAATAATCAAACAACTTTTTTCTTTAATCTGTTAATATGGTATATTACATCAATAGATTTTCTGATATTGGGACTTTTTGGAAATAAACCCTAGTTGTTCATGATGTATTTTTATTTAGAATTTTTGCACCTGTGTTTATAGGTGAGATCACTCTAGAAATTTTTTTACTGTACCATTTTAATCTGGCTTTGATATCAAAGTCATCCTATCCTCATAATATGAGCTCTGAAACAATTTTTGTATAATAAGGATTATCTGTTATTTGGTAAAACTCACCTATAAAAACGTTTGGGCCTGTTGCCTTTGTGAGACTGAGGAGGAAAATAAATTTTTATATTAACAATTCAGTTTTGTAATGACTATTGATTTGCTTTTTCATTTCTTAAATATATATATATATTTTTTCCTCCCCAAAGCCCCAGTACATAGTTGTATATTATAGTTGTAAGTCCTTCTGCTTCTTCTGTGTGAGCCACCACCACAGCATGGCTTCTGACAGACAAGTGGTGTGGTTCTGCACCCAGGAACTGAACCTGGGCCACCAAAGCAGAGTGTGCCATACTTTAACCACTAGGCCATCAGGGCTGGCTCTCTTAAATATATTTTGATAATTTACTTTTTAAAGAAAATGACCCATTTCAACTAAGTTTAAAAAATCTTCCTGTATTTCTATTATGTCTCGCTTTTCTTTGTTAATATTACTTATAAGTGCCTATTTTGATGAGTCTTGAGAGGTTTGCCTTTTTTATTAGTTTTTTCCCCTCAAAGAATTTGAAAAAACAAAAACAAAGCTTTTGGCTTTGTTGATTCTCTCGATTGCTCTTGGTTTTCTTAATTTATGCTCTCATGACTATTATTTTCTTTTTTCTACTTCACTTAGGTTTTATCTGTTCTTTTTTCTTGAAGTTTTTTGAGTTGAATGCTTAATCTATTTTTTTTTTACCATTTTAACTATTTTTAAGTGTATGGTTCAGTGGTATTAAATACATTCACACTGTTGTGCAGCCATCACCACCATCCATCCCCATAACTCTTTTTATCTTGTAAAACTGAAACTCTATACCCATTAAACAACAACTGCCCACTCTCCCTTTCCTCTAGTCCCTGGCAACCATCATCTACTTTCTGTCTCTATGATTTTGACTTCTCTAAATATCTCATATAAATAGACTCATATAGTACTTGTCTTTTTGTGGCTGACATTTCACTTAGCAAAATGTCCTCAAGGTTCATCCATGTTGTAGCATATTGCAGAATTTCCTTCCTTTTTAAGGCTGAATAATATTCCATTGTATGGACAGACCACATTTTACTTATCCATTCATCCTAATCAATTTATTTTTAGTCTTACATTTTTAAATGCATAAATTTAAGGCTATACATTTACTTACACCAAAACTTACAAGTTTTGATATGTGACACTCCCGTGGTTATTCAGGTCTAAATTTTTTTTTGCTTGGAAGGATTCACCCTGAGCTAACATCTGTTGCCAATCTTCCTCTCTCTTTTTTTTCCCTCCCCAAAGCCCCAGTACATAGTTGTATATTTTAGTTGCAGGTCCTTATAGTTCTTCTATGTGAGCCACCGCCACAGCATGGTAACTGACAGATGAGTGGTGTGGTTCTGTGCCCAGGAACTGAACCTGGGCTGCTGAAGCAGAGCGCATCAGGTCTAAATATTTTATGATTTTCATTATTATTTCCTTTTTCTCTCATGAGCTATTTAGAAGTTCTTTATTGATAATAAAATTTTAAAGACTTGCTACCAGTTGCTAAATCATTTTCTTAAAGAGCTGGGCCTTTTTACACTTCCACAGGCCATGTGGATGCCAAAAATTGCCCGAGATGACATCTTAAAAACAACAGGAGGCCAGCCCAGTGGCATAATGGTTAAGTTTGCACACTCTTCTTTGGCGGCCTGGGGTTCACAGGTTCGGATCCTGGGTGCAGACCTATGCACTGCTCATCAAGCCATGCTGTGGTGGCATCCCATATACAAAACAGAGGAAGATGGGCACGGATATTAGCTCAGGGCTAATCTTCCTCAGCAAAAAGAGGAAGACTGGCAACGGATGTTAGCTCAGGGCTGATCTTCCTCACCAAAAAATAAAATAAAAAATATCTATAAGTTTTAAAACAAACAAACAACTACAATAACAAACAAACAAACAACCCATGTCCTATAGGGCCTTTTCCCCCTGATACAAAACACCATCCCTGTGCAGTCTAGGAAGTCAATGTAATAAAGAGGCTAAGTCTGGATTCAAGTGCTGACGGGCCACTTGGTCAGTGTGGGACTCTGGGCAAATAACTTAATCTTTCTGCACCTCAGTTTCATCCTCTATAAAACAAGGCTAACAAAATGGTATCTGTTTCACAGAGTTATTGGGGAGTGTTTAGCACCTAAATGTCATTCAATAAATGTTACTAATTTTTACCAATCCAGCGGCTGATTTTACTTTGTACTTTTAACACTGCCGTGCTCTTTTACTAAAATAAACCTCTGGGTTTCTGGAAAGTAAAGACCCATGTTCCAAACAGCTTTGTTACGCTGTGTCCAAAATATTTTCATGTGTCTCTCAAGTTCATGCAAACACATACAGAGTCAACACAGGTACCCACAGACAAGACTGTCCCATTTCAAATTTAAATTACACACACAGATGCAAACGACAAAGATTCTCACAAAAACGCACTCAACCTGGACCCACAGATCCAGGTCCACACTCACGCTTCTGCACACTCCTCACAAAGATGGATCCATCGCCCACAGATAGAGACGCGCTCATAAATCCTACTCAAAACCTCGCAGCCCGCTGACAGATCACAAGCTACGCGCAGTGCCAGCACCATGCAAAGCAACACCACCGGCTCCAGGATGGGCAGGGGTCTTGTTCTTACTTCCTTTGGGTTGGTTCTATTTTAGTTGTTGTTTTTGTTGTTCTCCTTAGAGTTATCATCTGCCCCCTTTTCTCTCTACCCAGCCCCCAAACTCCCCCCACCCCGCCGCCTCCACTGCGCATGCGCCCTGCATCCCTCCCCCCTCCTGGGTACCAGTCTGGGCTCCCAGGCCCCGGCGGCGGAAGAGATGGAGCAGCGTCACGAGCGCCCGGCCCCTTAAAACGCTGCTGGCTGGAGCCGCCTCCCTCCCTGCAGCCCGCGGTGGAGATGGAGTAAAGGGAGACCTGTCGACCTGCCCGCGGAGATCAGCGATGGAGTTAAAGCAATCTTTGTCTACCCATCTGGAAACTGAGAAGCCTCTGAGGCGCTATGGGGCGGTGGAGGAGACGGCATGGAAAGCGGAGGGACTGGGGAGAAGTGAGTACTCGGGCGGGGTGGGGGACAGTTGGGGATCCGTGCGCTGGAGCCGGTGGTCGCGGGAGCGCGGGGATGGTAGGGAGCGGACCAAGGGAAGCGCCCCCGCAGCGGGGCTTTCAGCGCGGGGGGATGCGCAGCGCTGCGCAGCGGCGCGCTCTCCAGCGAACAAAAGGGGGACCTTCCAGGCTGGGCTTCACCGGGAGGCTCGGGAACTCGCTAGGCGGCTAAGCCGGGAGCCTGAGGCGGACTCGGGAGCCTGGGATCCGTAAGCTCGCAGCGGGTCCTGGAAAGTAGGGTCTTTCCCGCAGCCGAGAGAGCAGGGTCGGTTCTCCGCCCGGGCTGCGCTAGGACGCTGGAGCCGGTGGACCGTCCTGGAAAGCACCCACATCCCTGGAGAGAGGGGAGTGTCGGCTGGGTTTCCGCTCCGCCTTTTCCCCGGCGCGAGGTTCGGGGCACACCTCAAATTCCCAGCGTTTCTTCCCCCGCCTTCTCTGGGTCGCAGGTGGGAGGGAAAGGGTTAGGGGAAGTTAACCCTGTGCGCATCCTTCTCCTTTCTCCCTTGACTCAGAGTCTTGGGTTTGGGTACAATCCTAGAAGGCAGCTCTGAAACACACAGACTGTCTGCTGGTTCTCTCTACGGTATTTTGATGTCAACAACATTTCCAAATAAACGAAAGAATTTTGCTTTGAATTAGTAGGATGCAGTAGTTGAAACTCCTGCCCTCAAAGTATAGAGGCAGCCGCGGGGGCGCCAGGGGCGCCAGCCCTCCCTGCAAACCCGGGGCGCTTCCCAGGGCCCCTGCCCTGCGTTGCTGCTCTAGCACGGTGCCTCCTGCCGGGCTGGGAAAGGCCCTCTGGCCCTTCACAAGGACCCTCAGCTTCCTGCCTTGGCGCTGGGTAACCGTGCTAGGCACCCATCTCAGAGCAATGTCGGACCAAAGTATTGTAAATGTGCTCTTTTCCCGTCTTCACCTGGTCGAAGATTGTATGTGTGTCTGTGTGTGCATGGCTGCGCTTGTGTGTGCGCTTTCTCCATCCCTGTAATTACAAATTCAGAAAATCTTCCTAGAATGGCTCAGCTGTATTCTGGTTCTCTTGGGTTCAAGTTGAAATCATCATGAAATGCCTTAGTTCTGCACCTGGAACCCACAGTGCTCCCAACCTTTCTCGTTTTCTTTCTCCTTTTTAAATGCCGGTCCTCCTCCTGTTTCATCCTTTCAAAACCCTTTGGTATTCTGGCATGACACCAGGGCTGAGGGTCTCTCAAAATAATACCCACAATGGCTGCCTTTTATTGATAGGTTGCCATGTACCAGGTCCTGTGCTCAGAACTTCAAATGGATCATCTCATTCCATCCCCACAACAACCTCCAGAGGTGAATATTACGACTCCCCTTCCATTGATGGAGAAACCGGGGCTTGTTAGGTGATGTGACTGTTAAGTGGCAGTGCCGGGGTTTGAACCCAGATTTGTTGGACCACAGAGCCCCATCTCTGCTTTTAACAGGAAGGTTTATTGCTTTCATGTTTTCAGGAAGCTTTCTAAATCTGTTGAGAGAGTCCTAGAACACATTCAGTGATTGTATAAGTATGTGGCAGCCCTGTTGGTCTCTGGAGCTCACAGTGGCCTTGAAAGGATGCTGGGTCCCTGCAAAGTAGAAGCCGCATTCAGATAAGCTCTGGGTTTGAATCCTGACTCTGCTCCTTGCTGGCTGTGTGACTGACTTTCGGCACATTTCTAAGCCTTACTCTGCCTCCCTTCTCTGAAATGGAGATAATAATAGTTACCTACCTTATAGCTTAATTGTGAATATTGAGTAAGATGATGTATGTAGAGCTCAAGGTAAGAGCTCAATACGTATTGGCTGCTTCAATTATTTTATTACTACATCTGTAGAAGGGTCCTGCCTCTATCCTTTGCAAGGAATTACGTAAAGCAACACCCTGCAGTGTTGGTCAGTTCCCTAATCACTCTCTTATAGCTTTTTATTTTCTCACCACTTTCTTAGGAAAATTTTCGAACATACAGAAAAATTTCAGGGAACATCCGGTTTATAGCATCTTAGCTCCTGAAATTTTTGTACTTCTAACTCTTAAGCTGCAAACTATTAAAAGCCTGCAGAAGGGCTTTCTCATGTTCTCTGTTCCAAATCCTCAAAGACTCTGAGTCTTGCTTCCTATTCAAACGCAAGACCACAGTTTCTGATCTGCTTTTGTGTGGATCCCTAAATCTGTTTGTTTTTGCCTTTTTACCTGTTCATACTTGAAATATTCTTAAAGCACTGGTCCAGAGTCCCCCTTTTGAATCTTAAATTTGAGATGGTTGCCTTTAGCAAATTTTGATCTCTAGACTCTTTTCTGTTTTGTTTTTGTTTTTGTTTTTTTTTTTTTTTTTGCTGAGGAAGATTCACCCTGAGCTAACATCTGTGCCAGTCTTCCTCTATTTTGTATGTGGGTCGCTGCCACAGCGTGGCCGCCGACGAGTGATGTAGGTCCACACCCGGGAACCGAACCCAGGCCACTGAAGCGGAACACGCCAAACTTAACCGTTAGGCCATGGGGCTGGCCCTTGATCTCTACACTCTTGTCTGCAGCCTGGCAGACAATATTAAAGACTTTTTGATTAAAGTGGCTTTTTTTTTTTTTTTTTTTTTTTAAAGATTTTTTTTATTTTTTGCCCCCAAAGCCCCAGTAGATAGTTGTATGTCATAGCTGCACATCCTTCTAGTTGCTGTATGTGGGACTCGGCCTCAGGCTGGACAGAGAAGTGGTGCCTCGATGCGCACCCGGGATCCGAACCCGGGCCGCCAGCATCGCAGAGCGCGCACTTAACCACCAAGCCACAGGGCCGGCCCAAAAGTGGCTTTTTTGGACGCCCTCTCAATTCCCAGGGGATCTGTGGATCCATTCCATAACATCTGGGGCCTCCATTTGTTTATTAATGAAGTGTGAAAATTTGTACTATTGATTCTATGGCATAACAATTGCCAAGCCAACGTTGTAATGCATGAAATGCTGGAAAAAAGAGAGGCCCATTAAAAAGAAGACATGCCCTGTTTAACTTCTGTGTGTATTTAAATATTTGATGTTAAACACTGAGTATGTATTAATTAAAAAGAATTGAAAAGGGGGAAAAGATCACAGAACCGGTCATTTTCAGTTAAGGTTGTATTAGCTGCTATCTTTAATTTTAACTATAGTTTTTACATAGAAGATATGTATCGTATAGCAGCAAAGAATGGGAGTTTTGAAATCAGGTGAAATGGGTCCAGACCAGCTCTAACACTTTGTCACCCTGGGAAAATTGCTGTACCTTCTGGTGCCTCAGTTACCTTATCTGTAAAATGGGGATATGTTGGTTGGAGACGTCAGGAGCTTCTCAGGTGAAATCTGAAACTGGCTGTCGTACACGGAGGGCAAGAAGAGAACGAAGAAAGAGGCAGAGCACTCCAGATTGGTAGGTGGCAGGTTTAATAAGCAAGTGAATTTACTTAAGAGGCTTGTCTTGGTTGCTGCAAGACGAGTGGATCTCTGCACCCACCTGCCAGAATCTTAAAAGTTTATATAGATGTCCTAGTGGTTAAGTTCAGCGCACTCTGCTTCAGTGGCCCAGGTTCGGTTCCCGGGCGCAGACCTGCGTCACTCATCTGTCAGCAGCCATGCTGTGGTGGCAGCTCACATAAAAAAGAAAAAAAGAGGAAGATTGGCAATGAATATTAGCTCAGGGCGAATCTTCCTCAGCAAAAAAAAAAAAGTTTGTATAGAGGCCTTAACAGGGTTCAGTCACATGTACTATCCAGATGGTCTCAACAACACCTTCCTCTCTCAACGCTACATCCTTGGAACAGCTCCTACTGTGGGAACGGTGGGCAGAGTGTACGTTCCAAGGACAGGGGAGGGGGTGAGGAGTCTCTGATTGCCCCAGTTAAGCCCAAAGGTCAACCGGTGGTCATGTCCTCTCTATGACCTCCTCCAATAGGATAATAATAATGACGACCACTTCAGGCTGTTGAGCAGATTAAATGAGATAATGTATATAATGCATTAACACAGTGCCTGGCACACTGTGAATGCTCAGTCAAGGCTGAATGGTTGTCATCACAGGATATAAATGATGGCGCCCAACAGCCTTGGAGGAGTTTATTCCAAGCTTGCGAGTCAAGTTTTCCTTGTGTCCATTTCTTTGTAAATTCCAGATACTGATTGTGTATATACCGCCTTCCTCCTCAGGGGAAAGTGTGGGGAATGGCTTTTGAACCCTTGAAAGCCACCTAGTATTTTCTCCTTTGAGAAAGATTCTAAGCAATTGCTCCCATCCGCCTTTGACAGCATTTTTCCACCAGCTGAGAGTTTTTTCTTTTTTTTTTCTTAGCTCAGTTGGAAAATGTATAGTGACATTTCAGTGTGGTTAGATATATAAAAACGTTGCTTTCAACCAACTGCAATTAATTGAGGGAGACAGAAAGACAAAGTGCCTTTTGAGAAAGCATGGAGCTTTTTAAATGCACGGTTGTCGATGGTGGTGGCCATTTCTTGATAGATTTGAATGTGCCTTAAAGGATGATCAAGATTTTGGACAGAGGAGGTGGGAGAGGGAGGGTGGCACAGCAGGGAGGAAATGCCACGGGAGGGAACAGCATTGGGAAAAGCATAGAGGTAGAAATAAATGTTATGTGAGTAGGAGATTGGAGTAAAGTGGAAAGCTCGGACAACAATCTTCCTATAAGCCCAGGGGAGATGACTATTTAAAAGTCCAAGGGTGTGTACTGCCTAGCAAGCAGATCATTAAACTGGCCAGTGTTTCAGGTTTAATAAACAGTGCGGAGACTGAAATAATATGAGTTGCCTGCAATCTACATAATAGATTCTTGGGAAAGGTTTTGTGTTACTTTCATCCGTTTGATCAAATATGTGAATTTTATTATTTCAATTTTATTTTGTTTTGGCATTATTTCTTTTTTCTTGTTACAGAAGTAGTATATGCACTTGAGAAAAAAATT